TATTGAAGAACTATATATTAGTTTAAATTCTTTTAAAACAATTTTTAAAAATTTTTTGCCTGAAATTAAATTTTTAACACCAAGAAGTGATTTGTGCTATTTTTGCAAAGTTATGCGATTTAATGCTGATAAATGGACTATAATTAAAAAAGAACAAAAAATTATTGAATAGAATAAACATATTGAAGCTGCAAATAATGAATGTAAATATTATAAGTAAGTATAATTAAAATTTTATATATTTATATATACTATATTTAAAATTATTTATTATTAAAGTTTATTATTAATTTTTATATTTATTAAATAAATTTAGAGAATGTATAAAAAATGCAAAAATTAATATTTTAAATTTTGATAAAAAAACAATAATTAGACTAGGAAAATTTAATTCATTGGATATTGAATTATATTTATCTTGGGATTTTGCACAACAAGTTCATTTACCTTTTTCATCACAACAAAAGGTAATAATATTTATTTATTTATTTACTTATTTTATTTATTTATTTATTTATTATTTAATTATTTAATTATTTAAATTTTATTTTAAATTATTATTTTATTAGGGAGAAATATATTTTAAATCTCTTTATAAAATTCATGTTTTTGGAATTTGTGATGATGCATTTCCTCGTCAAGTAAATTATAAATTTATTATATCATTAATATAAAATTAAAAATTTATTAATCTTATTTAAATTTTAGGTAAATTATCTTATTAAAGAAAGTGAAATGCCAGGCAAGGGAGCAAATATAGTTATTTCTTTGGTTCATAATTATTTTTTATTACATGGATTAGGAGAAAAATATTTAACTATTCATGCAGATAATTGTCCTGGACAAAATAAAAATAATTTAATAATAGCATATTTAGCATGGCGAGTAATTATGAGCTATCATGAAAGAATTAGGTATTCTTTTATGCTTGCTGGACATACAAAATTTAGTCCAAATTCATTTTTTGGATTATTTAAATTAGCACTTGCTAAATCAGAAGTTGATGATTTAGATGATTTAATTAAAGTTCTTGAAAATTCGACAACTGATAAATATAATATAGCACAACCTATTTTTAATAAGGAGGGAAATCAAGTAGTATATTTTTATAATTAGAGTAAATGGTTAAAAAATTTTTTTACAACAATACCAAATATTTCAAAACAACATTATTTTAGTTTTAGTAAAGAATATAAAGGACAAGTAGAAATAAGCAAGTCTATTAATAGTGAAAAAACATTAGTTGAAATTCAAAAAAAAATTTTCTGCAGATATTAATTCAAATCCAGAAATTATTTCTTTTCCTGGTTTAAGTGCAACTTGACAATGGTATCTTTTTGATGAGATTTGAAAACATATTCAGGATAAAAAAAAACAAGATAATCTTTGTCCAGAACCAAAACTTCCTAGACTATAAAATTTAAACTTAAACATATTTAAAATTTATTTATTATAGTATAAATTTATTTTTATTAATATTTTATCTTTATTAATATTTTATTATTTATTATATAAATAAATTAAATTTAATATATTTTATATTATAAAAATTAT